TTTTTTTCTTAACGTCTTTATTATTACCTCCAAACGTAAAAGAAAGCTCATGACGTAACGCCACAAAGTCCGCCATATTCCATTTTACATCTTTCTCAGGAAGTAGGAAAATGTTGTAAATATATAGGAAATCTCGTTTTAAATTGCAAAACATACTCTCAATACCTAGATGGCACTTTCCCTCACCCCTTCTTTCTTCACACGCCCATAACTGTTGGATAACTCTCATATTTTTCTAAAGTCATTCGGGTGATTAGATTAAATCTGTGCCAGCAAACCAAGGGTAAAACGTAAAGTTGAGTTGATAAGGTAAATCAACCGTTGTAGCGAGTTTGTGAAGCTGATGTTCGGGCGTTAACGTTAACTCTTCGTAACCACTGGGATTGTGTGTTGTGTGTGTATATTCATATAGTAAACGCACGTGCTCTTGCTTTGGTGAAGAGATGTGACGTTCACAAACGTGCTATGGTATCATCAACCCTAAATTGTTTTAATGAACAGCTAAGTGTTCAACAAAACAAGTCTTTCTTACCCAAATTGTTTCCATCATGGACATTATCATCATCGTCATCATCTTCGTCATCGTCATCATTATAATCTTTAGGATAATCTTGGATGATCAGAAAAGATAAAGAAGAATGAAGAAATGGCCTTCTCGATGGACAATGATAACCTTAATTTGCCGCCACCGATGAAGGAGCCTTTCTACAATCGAACGGGGACAGTAGAATTGGAATACAGTAAACCTAAACATCGCCAAGGAAGACAAAAACACTAAACGAATAAGCAGTAAATAAAAAAAAATAAATGAAATGAGATCGTTCGCATTGTTCAAAACACAAACATATACACGGCAGACCTTTAATAGTCCCCGGTCAGCGAGTTTACTTAAAAGGTGTCCGGGACTGGGAATGACCAGCGGTAAACTCTGCGAGATATTGATGAGCTAATTTTTCCCAGACTTTTGCGAGTGCTTCCAATATGACGAAACATTCACTGTACATATCTTCTCCTTATTGCTGTTGATTTTTCGAACTCTATACCCATTGACTACGATTGTGGATATTCTTACATTACAGAATCCAAAAAGTTGAACGTTTTGATCTTACCCATTTCATTGCTATCATCATTAAGATCCTCTGATAAATAAGAAATAAAAATAAAAATTCAAAAAATGTGGTTATAGGGCACTTGTGTAGCATCGCCACTCATTTTGAATACAATACTTTTCAGGCAACTAATCAGATTGTACTATATATCACTTTTGTGTGCCATGCAAATTGCATAAATGCCTGGGTATATCTACAAAGCACTAACTGTCTGGCAGAGAACGCCTAATCGCCGGTTAGCTTTTAGGCTAAATTCTTTACATGGTTTAAAACATGCGCTATATCGTTTCTGATAGATTAGCAAACTGGACGTTTTGTTTCCACGTTACTTCTTTCGACTAACTCATATGACAAATCATTTGAGTGAGACACGACTGGATCGTCAGAAAAAGTACAACAAATAAAGATGTTGAATGATTTCCCTGGATTCCCTTTTCAGGTTTCATACTGCTTCCTATCTTGGGAATAAAGCTTCCAATTCGAGCGCCGGCTGCATCCACCGCTACGTTGCACTCTTTTTCGAAATACTTCTCAAACGTTGCTCAGTTCAGTTTAATTTCAAACGTCCGAGGAAAGCGAACCCAGAAGTATACATTAAATTTTTCTAAAATAATCTTATGGTCCAGAAAAATGTAAGTGATCTATAAGTTGAAGGTAAATCCTCTTTTTCGTTTGTTGACCAGCGGGTAAACTGCATTTACCAGTGATGGTGGGTGCTGCTTTACTTTATCAAACACTTTTAACAGACTTTTATTACACTGATGGAGAACAAACTTCATATTGCATTTGCTTACCTTCTAGTGGAATTGTGAAGGCTACAAAAAGGTCAGTGAAAGCAAAATGATTAGTTAAATATCTGATAGGAGCATTAAGACTTCACAACTCGAGTACTCAAGAAATGTCCTACCTTCAAAGCCGACGCTAACCGCTAGCAATAGAACTGCAATGAACCAAATCTTTGAAGCCATTGCTCAGGGAGATGGGAGGGCTCGAGGTCTGAAAGATGCCCGGTAGAATTCCTCTTTTTAAGGAATTTTTCACGTGAATCAAACTTCAAATATCTAGGAACCAATGCAGGAATTCGAAGCTTCAATCAATAGTATTATCTTAGTAGACACAGTGTACCCAATTAAGTTGGTAATCAGGCTTTTAAAGTAGGTTCTCAGCGCTGCTAATTTTAGAACCATTTAATGTAAGCCACCAATACGCCACGTTCAATATATCAATATTCTAACATGGCTCCGAGGCTTTCGGGTCAAAATTGTAATTTTTTTTTTAAGTTTCTCTTTTGTCACACCAAATATAAAACTTTGTCCTGAAAGCCTAGAATATTGATGTATAGAACGAGGCCTATTGCAGCTTCCTCTAGGAGACAATATCGACAGGTATTTCTGACATTACCTCTAAACTTTTAATAGTTGTTTACAAAATCGAGATTAAAATAGCTTGCCTTGAGTGTAAATATTTCATGTAAATGTTGTGTTTTCTCGCTTGTTTTTCTTTTTCATCAGAAAAAAAATATATTGTTAAGACAGACGTGTACAACGCTTTTAGGAACCTTAACAATGACAATGATCGACTATCGTGCATTATGCCCTGAGCAGACATTATCAGCTAATGAGTATCATTTTCTATTGAACACGAGTTAAATTGTACATGATGAAAGCTGACCTTGGCAATATCTTGATGATGCATCTTCACCAGAAGTTTCTTCGGTTTCGAGAGACTGCTTTCATATGTTGCGGTAAGAGTAGAACAATTACGTAATAAACATATTTCCATCACCGGACGGGAGGGATGGTGGAAGAGACTTTCTTAAACTGTAATATCTGACCGTGTAGTTTTTGATCTTCATTTTCCGTGAAATTGACACTGAACTAAAACAAAAAATTGAAAATAACATAGCCATCCCCGCCCAAATAGATCACTCTGTATTTTGTTATTCACTTAGCTGCATCGATATACGAGAAAGTTAAGGACAAAAAAAAAACATTTATTAACTGGAATAATAATACGTCAACTCGCAGCCCGATATCTCGCGTTTTATATTAATAAAGATGCTTTTAGATTGTTATGCGATTGTTTAAGTGGAAGAATATGAAGTACCTCTCAGTATTAGGGCAGGAAGAAAGTGCTGAAAGACAGTATCGTCGATTGCTCAAGAATGAAATATTTATTTCATTGATCTCGTATACTGTACGGTAGGTTACAGCACCACATTATATGGATTTCGCTCAGATGTCGGTGATTTACTAACCATTTGGATGTGAGTCGTATGTGAATATATTAAAATTAAGATAGAAGCCAATACATAAGCATTACTGGTAAATGCTCCGAAAAAAAAATAATTTCAGATATATTCTGTCAGAAAGTTAAACTGCTCTAATTTCTACGATTTAGTTCGTGTGAATGGCAATAATTTACGGTAGCATGTAAGATGGAAGTTCTTTTTTTAATAGATTAACTACAATCGGATCACTCTTGTAAACCGCAAATTGCTAGCTGTTTGTTTTCCCTTTCGAATCTTGTCGCAGATCTGTTCAATAGAAGAAAGCAAAGAAGGTGTTACCCTCTTTAGACGATAAACATCGTGAATTAAAATTTTCAGAGAAATGACCAAAATAGTATCATATAATTTCATACCAAATGAATAATACGAAAAAAAGGTTTCAGTGCAAACGGGCAATTCCTCACATTCATAGAAGAAATAAAAACCGTGTGGCATTTAAATTCAACATTCCTATTATTCTAAACAATTTTAAATTCAACCATTGCAGCAGAGATTCCTTTTTTTTCAATAAAAGGCGACAAGCTGTTTTGGAATTGTACAAGTTTACACCATTTTAACTAAACACGCACCTCACCCCTAGCCTCGTGAAGATATTGGAGATATTGGAGATACTTGATGTAAACTATTCTTTGCAACTGCTCTTGAAGTAGAAATTCACTTACATGCATGATCAAAGAGCAAGCCAACTGATATTTCGAAGAGGCTTCTTTAACTCAAAATAATGATTTTTTTCAGAAAGATCTTTCCTTCGAACTTGATACCCATAGCAGAAAGGTTGTTTAATAGCTGTTTATCAGCGCTGTAAGACAGCCCCGTCAGAACGATATAAGCCAACCTTTCCGTGGCTCTTTCCCTGAGTCTCCTTCGCAGCATCTACGTCTCCGTTGCGTGACGTACGCCGGAAGGATTGAGATGAACACTTTCCCTGACCAACAAATGAACCGCAAATCTTAAGGCACAACTGAAACAAGCTGCAATTTACATTTTCCAACAACAACTTTACCAGAAATTTAAACAACTTTTGTATTTGAGTTATTTGAACTAACAGTTCCATTTTAGTGCAACACTCGCAAGCTCGTAAGAAAATTCTCAATAATGCTGTTGTTGGAGTTAATTTTTCTCGTTACGTATCGCGATATAAGAATAGTTTTGACCGATAAACACTCAAGGTCTAGAGAAACGCAATATTTTTTAAGTAGAATATAAATAAGCTAGATTTTTAATCGACACGTTGTCCTGGGTATCGCGATCTTGCCGCGTAACGAAAACCACGCATGAGTTGCTTGTCTCTATGAAATATTGCCTTGTTTGTTGTTGGCATCACGATGGTTGGTTTCACGTAATATATCAAAAACGAAAAACCGTGTTTGTTCACATTTCCAAACACCGAGGAGAGAGTTGAAAATACGACGTGCAGCGGAGTATTTTTGAAGAACTTTGAGTTGTTTGGAAATGTGGTCAAACACCGGAGAAATAAAATCGTTAAAATCTATGCTAATTAAGATCAGATATGCAAACACCGTCACGGTCATGATTTCCTTCGTTTAAACTTAATGAATTATTAATACGTTTCAGAAATCACTTTCGCATTTCTTGGCTTTTTGTGGCATTTAGTATAACCTCCATTGTAGTGAAAACTAAATCCCAATTTTTATCTGTCCATTGACAAGAACATTCAATGTACAAGTTCCAGAATATGTAAGGGAGATATCTAGTTTCTTGGGTATAATATCACGTATGGGTAGTATAAACAAAATCTGAAGAAGTCTGATTTCGATATTGGACGTTGCATACTCTGGCATGGCCAGTGTATGCCGGCATGTCGAAATATCCACGATGGCATTTTAATGTGATATTAAAAGGCGAGAGGGGGTTACCGACAATGCATTAGAATCGAAATCATAAAATCTGGCTCTAGTTTTCTAAAAGATCTGTGGTTGCTTTCGTCTCAGGTTAGACGTTCAATGAAATGTCTTTTTTGTTCATAGCAGAATGGACCAAACATGTTTCAGTTCAAACTTGCTTTTAATTCAAACCCTTAAAGTGATTCCTCAGTATTGCATTACGCATCCCTACGTACTGCGCACGATTTTCGCGTCAATAGCGCGCGCACATGAGCGAAGCAAAGTACGACAGCGAAATAAATATAATGCTGTAGAGAACACGTCATAAGGTAGTGCTGGGTATGTGCGCAAAAAGAGAATTCTTAAGTTTGTAGTATAATCGTAGCCCTGTTTAACTAACTGTGTTTAAAATGTAAGTTCAGGGTCTACTTTGTTTCACTTCTCTAATAAATTAATCCAATAGCTTTTCTTAGAGTTTCCAGTGCCCCTTTCTGCTAACTAAGGTTAAGTAATGACACCCTCGTCGGTCGCAAAGTTGTTATAAAGGCCATCTGTGTTGTGCAACAACGAGCACGGTGACCCCAATTTTTTATTGCATTTTTCAGATATACTTATTTAAATCTGAAAATTTTATATTTCTTATCTGCTCTAGTCCCAAATTAACAAATGGTAAACGCCATAGCGTGCACTATTGAGTTATGGATGCACGCGGGAGGTTGCTAAGCACGAAAGAAGCGTAAGAGTCGCACGAGGCNCATTCATGACAACCGACTGCACACCAGTAACTCGATAAAGTTTCATCTTCAGAAAACTGTGAAGACAGTTTCGCATTTCTGGCAGAAGAACGTCGGCCATTACTTTGGAAACAATGTCTGTCAAAAGATTTGCTTTGTAAACATTAGCAGACACGTCAGTAGCGTACACCCATGGGCAAATAGTAGACGCTAAATTAACCAATCAGAGCGCCCGTTTTGCTTCAGTTATGTTATAATTAAGTTTTCTCCACGCTTACGAGTGATAAACCGCAGTGACGGCGACGGAAAATAAAGTTACAATTAACATGTCTGCATAAGAACCTTTCCTTTATAAAGAACAACAATTTGCTATCTTCAGGCTTGCACTTTTGCCTCTTTCTTTTTCCATTATATTGACATTCCCTTGATTACTTCATCGCCCTCCGAGAAAGTGAAGCAGAAACAGTTAGAATGGAAAATCCACTAAGGAGCTTACACTATATAAAAAGGTTCTTGTGACACAGCCAAATGCGGTTCGAATTTCGTACATGTAACACAGGGTCCAAATTTAAATACATAGAATTATATTTGAGTATAACGTTAGCTTTGCGGAATTAAGTAAGTTGTTTTTCCTTAGACATTTAACAGGGTAAATATTATCTCATTTTGGAATTGATGAGAGACGGCGTGGCAGTTGTCCGTTTCGTTAATGGTCGATGCCATTTTCGCGACACTCGGAAATTTAACTATCAACAAAGTTTTCTCTACTAAGAAAAAATAAAATTTGTAAGTAACCACCCAGAATCGAACCCGGAACCTCTGTTTCCTAACATCCCTCTTATACCACTACACTACCGGGTTAGTCTGCCAAATTTAATTATAAAACGTGACTTTCTCAAATATTAATGATAGAGTTACCCCAACCATCAAATAAACGCTGACCGCAAGCAACCAGTGTGAATATGAACAATTAAGAATTTGGTGAGTGCGTTTTGCTCCATCAACAAATTATAACCACTTTCTACCTTGTCCAGACCTAAACTAAAGCAGATATGGCATCGTCCGCTCTGAAAGGCTTGGTTACCAATGATGACATCGAACGTTAAAAATGGCATCGACCATTTTCGAAACGGAAATCGGTGACGGCGTGTTTGTAGATATGAAGCTGATACGCAAAATATAAGCGAGATATCAGGATCAGGATTTACTAATTACCAGACTGGTTAATTTCTAACCTTGCTATTATTTTAAAACCAAAGCAAGCAAGCAGTTGAACCCGAAGTCTTTAGACTTCTACAAAAGGCCACCTCCGAGTTGCCATTTGCCTATGCGTCAAAACATTTCGTCATGCAAAATGTGTTCCACCTACAAG